CCACAGGGTTCGCAGGGGTTTCACCGGTTTTTAAGGGCCTCAACACTTTAAAACAAATATAAATCCAGCACTTGGTGAGGTTTCAGAGAGGTGCTGTCTGAAACCACCAAATTTTCCAACCTGGCCTGGCGGGCGGTGTCCCAGGGCCATCAACCCTTTTTTTTTTGGTGCCTCATTGTGTGCCCTCGGGAAAAAGGATGACGGAATAGGCCCCCATTGCAGGGGGTAACACCCTTCCCGGCGCCTATCCCCAAGGCTGAGAAAAAGGGGGTGAGTAAGAGGCTGCTGCAATGCTGAACCAAACTCAGCTCGGTTTCGGGTTAAAACGGGGCTGTGAAGAGCCCCCCACGCAGCACGAGTATATACAAAAACATGTCCTATGAAAAAGCCTTGGTAAAATTTGGGACTTTCCCCAATGCTTTCAACTCGCAAAAGGGGATGGGGCTCCCAAAGCATTTATAAAAAATTCCCTTCCCTTTCCCCCTTCATAGAATCGTGTTTAGTGTGACTTCCAAACATTTTTTGGGGGACCATGAAATTGCCGTTGAGGGCGTGCAAAGGGGGACCCTCCCCCCCCTTTTTCATTTTTTTTTGGTCATAAAGGAAGTCACGGGGCATCTCCAGCGAGCTAAAATATCTGGTTCCTGGACGCCCGGTCCCCCTACTGGCACACAAATCTCTCCTGGAGGACATCAAAAAAATTAAAGAATGGGAAAAACCCTGGGCCTTTCTTTAAATCCCCCAAAATTAAAAATAGTTTCTACCAATCAACAGTGTCCAGAATTTAGTACCCTTTTACCCGGGGGCACGAGCCATTGGGTCCACCAATAGCCTCTCCTGGGGCCCCTTTGGGGCCAAGCCATCGATTGATCCTAGGAAAAAAAGTTCAGACCTCCGGACGATGGAAAGCAGGATGAAAAAACATTGAGACACCGATCCTTTACTACCCCAGGTGCCCGTCAACCCCAAAACTTACCATTTTCGAGATGCCCCCCTTCAGCATCCAAAAAATCAAGGAATATGTCTCTCCCGAAGGGGCCCTGCAAAAGAGTGATTGAACTTTCCCTTTGGGACGATGGGCAGTGGTTGCAAGTCACTTCCGGTCAGGCTTGGAGGGCTAGGGGTCGCAGATCCTCCCCATTGCTTACCAGTTTCCCATCCTTTCCATGCATCAAACGAGTTTATAAGACAAATTCTTCCTGACACCCCGTGACTCGCAGAAAGAAGACCCTAGCTATGTCAGTTTCCATCACCGAATGGGAGACTCTTGCTGCTCCACCAAACCCCAGTGCAGCATGGCTACAGTCAAGCTGGGATAGCCCCAATTGCTGAAAAGGGTTGCCAACTGCCAGGGCTGCAACATCAGATAGGGAGATTGCCCTCTCCAGGGTGTGAGTGCACACACCCGGGGAATTCCCCCAAACGTTCCCAAATTTGGCAATGGGAAACGCGACTGACCCTAAGACCCTCCGTATTGCAGTGGCTCTGCGCCTGCTGCCCCATTCACCGATATATGTGTATTTGCGGCGAAGTGCAACAGACCATACGGGGTTTCATGGTCTTAAAACCCCGTTCCAAAACCAAGGGCCGGCTCAAACAAAAAAAACAAACCCCTTAAGAAACCCTTCACATGGATCCCCCAAGGGGGGAATACTTGCGAAAAATCCCAAAAAAGCCAAACCCCCCCGGGAAACCCCTAAAAATTTGGGAAAAGGAATTTAAACAAAATACCTGGTGTCCCCCTGCGCCCAACCCCAGTGGGGGCGACAAGGAAATTACCACAGGGAGGGGTCCCCAAAATCGAAAATACAAATTACCAAACAACAAGTCCCTGGTCGGCCTTACTAAAAATCCCCCAAATTTCCTTAAAAAATTGGGTTCCAGACTCATCGACACCACCAGGGACCCAAGGGCAGCACTTTCATGTTCCAGCGCCTCAGCGTCGCCATCCAGAGGGGAAATGCTTGCTGCATACTTGGCTCACGTCAGCCTCGGAGGAGTTGGAGGAAATTCATCATCTTTGATACATTGTGCCATTGTATTCATGTTTGTTTTTTTCTGTAAATGTATTTTGTTTATTAATAAATGTTCACATAGAATAAAAAATATAATATATAATTATATATATATCTATATATATATTATATTTATATATTATATTATATTATATATATATATATATATAATATATATGTCGTGCCGAATATGTAAAAACTGGTCAATTAGCAAGAACTCATTTAAAATTAAGTCCTTTCTAAAATTTTCTCTTATACGTTTAAAGATATATTTTTTTCATTAATGTTGATGTAAAAATTTATAATTTTGCACCAAAAGAAACTTAGAAAACTTACCTAGCCTTATTATAACAAGAACAATTTATTTTAGCCTAACCCAACTAAATATATTTTAGATTTGTTTACAATAATTTAATACTAAACAAACACAGCGAAATATATTTTTTCGTTAGGTTCAGAATGATTTTGGCGAAATTATTGCATACACAAATTTTCACTTGTCCTATATGGCAAGATGAACGTTGCTATTTAAGCCAAGATCGCAAGTTCTGCCTATTCGACACGACACACACACACACACACACACTATATATATATATAAATGTATATATATTTATATCGTGCCGAATAGGCAGAACTTGCGATCTTGGCTTAAATAGCAACGCTCATCTTGCCATATAGGACAAGTGAAAATTTGTGTATGCAATAATTTCGCCAAAATCATTCTGAACCTAACGAAAAAATATATTTCGCTGTGTTTGTTTAGTATTAAATTATTGTAAACAAATCTAAAATATATTTAGTTGGGTTAGGCTAAAATAAATTGTTCTTGTTATAATAAGGCTAGGTAAGTTTTCTAAGTTTCTTTTGGTTGCAAAATTATAAATTTTTACATCAACATTAATGAAAAAAATATATCTTTAAACGTATAAGAGAAAATTTTAGAAAGGACTTAATTTTAAATGAGTTCTTGCTAATTGACCAGTTTTACATATTCGGCACGACATATAATATAATATTATATATATATATATATATATATATATATATTATATATATATATATATATATATATATAGAGAGAGAGAGAGAGAGAGAGAGAGAGAGAAACTCACCTGGTGGTCATTGATGAACCAAGTAAGGTGTGCTGGAGGGCTGGAGCTGGCTGACACACAGGTGAGTCTGGCGGTGTCCCCGATATGGTACTCGTGTTGACGACCGTAGATGCGAGGCTTCTCCTTCGGAATTTCTGGCGGAGGACACGGAGAACACACCGTGAACACAAGGTGAGGCAGGAATGCCAGGAGGCAGGAGGTTAACGGCAGCCATATGAAAGAAGGATTGAGTGTCGTAGGCAGGAGGAAGACCTGGAAGAATCTGACAGCAGTGAGGAGGACCTGGATGAATCTGACAGCAATGAGGAGGACCTGGAAGAATCTGACGGTAGAGAGAGGAGACCTTGAATAATGTGACAGAAGTCAGCAGGACCTTGAATAATGTGACAGAAGGCAGGAGGACCTTGAATAATGATAGAAGGAAGGAGGACCTTGAATAATCTGACAGAAGGAAGGAGGACCTTGGATAATCTGACAGGAGGAAGGAAGACCTTGGATAATCTGACAGAAGGAAGGAGGACCTTGGATAATCTGACAGGAGGAAGGAAGACCTTGGATAGTCTGACAGAAGGAAGGAGGACCTTGAATAATCTGACAGAAGGAAGGAGGACCTTGAATAATCTGACAGAAGGAAGGAGGACCTTGGATAATCTGACAGAAGGAAGGAGGACCTTGAATAATCTGACAGAAGGAAGGAGGACCTTGGATAATCTGACAGGAGGAAGGAGGACCTTGGATAATCTGACAGAAGGAAGGAGGACCTTGAATAATCTGACAGAAGGAAGGAGGACCTTGGATAATCTGACAGAAGGAAGGAGGACCTTGGATAATCTGACAGGAGGACCTGAGTGTAATAGGCAGTAAGAATGAGGATATGGGAAGCTTAACTGTGGTGGTAAAGTTGGAGAATAGAGTGATGCAGGAGGCAGGGACTTTGAAGGATGGAGTGATCCAGAAGGGAGGGAGTCAGTAAGGATGAAGTGATTCAGAAGGGAGGGGATAAGGATGGAGTTATCCATCCTTCCCTGAAACAAACGCAGACGACCAACAGACATATTTATACGACCTGGAGGAGATGGAGTATAGTTGTTGAGGTCTCGGCGAAGTGCTGGGGTCTAGGCGAAGTGCTGGGGTCTAGGCGAAGTGCTGGGGTCTAGGCGAGGTGCTGGGGTCTAGGCGAGGTGCTGGGGTCTAGGCGAGGTGCTGGGGTCTAGGCGAGGTGCTGGGGTGCAACGAGGTGCTGGGGTGCAAGCGAGGTGCTGGGGTACTAGCGAGGTGCTGGGGTATAAGAAAGGTGCTGAGGTATAAGAAAGGTGCTGGAGTATAGGCGAGGTGCCGAGGTATAGGTCAGGGCATTGAGTATATTCGAGGGGATGGAGTATAAGGCTTTATTAATAAGTGCAATAAAGTTGTGATTAAGCTCTACATAGATCTATCAGAATGAAAATTACATACCAGTGACTCTTAAATCAAGTGATATTAGAACAACCTTCATGAAATACTAGGCATACCAATGGCTGTTCTTACCTGTACTTTAAACCTACTCCTAGCAACACCTATGTATATGAAAAGTAATAGTTATTTTTAATTATCATTATATTATCATTTACACACTGGCCATCTCCCACCAAGGCAGGGTGACCAGCAAAAGAAACACTTTCACCATCATTCGTACTATCAGTGTCTTGCCAGAGGCGTGCAGATACGACAGTTGTTTGGCTTAATAATACTCACGTATGACGGTCATGGGAGCGCTCTTGTCAGCCGTCAGGAAGTTGGGCGATTCCTCAATGACCTCACACTTGTACTTGCCAGAGGAGGTCAGCTGCACGTTGGTCAGCACTACCCTCTCCCCCGTCGACGCCTCCCTCTGCATTAAACCATAGCTTTATTACTCAAGACTTTCCAAGCCGTAGCTGCGTCAAGACCCTCTACTCTCCAGTAGGGTGAGTAGGATAATAATAATAATAATAATAATAATAATAATAATAATAATAATAATAATTAATATTTCTACAAGTACATGATACAACTTATACAGACCAAGGCTAACATAAGTAACATATTATGTAGAAAGTCCCTTGTTATGTAGAGCATTTCAGGCAAATTAGGTTAATTTTGTCCCCAGGATGAGACCCACACTAGTCGACTAACACCCAGGTACCTATTTACTGCTGGGTGAACATGGACAACAGATGTCTTAAGGAAACACACCCCAATATATCCACTCATACTGGGGATCGAACCATGGACCTCAATGTGTGAAGCGAGTGCTCTACCACCCGAGTTCAAGCCATCCTCACGTGAGGTTGGCAGCAAATTTCTCGAGTTACGTACTGAAGGCTAGGTTACAGTGTTGTCTATTAATCAAAATTAACCAATTATATCGTACAACAACGGCATTAATTAAAATGTGAGATAGAGGCGATAAAAGACTCTTGAGGTAGGAACAGAGAACGTGGGCGCAACGAGGAGACAGTCAGATTATCAGTATTATCATTATATTTACAAAGTGCAGGCAGCTGTATGAGTCATGGCTATGTTTGTCAGGAAACAGGACAAGTGTTTCCTGAGGCGGATCTTAGTCATATGATGACCTGCAGCTGGAGCTTTTGATCATCTGACCGAGGCCTTCCGCTGGCTTACCCCTCCACCTCTTTAAAAATTATGGTTATACATATAACCATTAGGAACATTCTCCACTTATATCAGAGAAACCAGATTGAATAATAATAATATTGACACATAACCAGGAAGCCATGGCATACCCAAGGAGCCATCACATACCCAGGAAGCCATCACATACCCAGGGAGCCATCACATACCCAGGAAGCCATCACATAACCAGGGAGCCATCACATAACCAGGAAACCATCACATACCTAGGAAGCCATCACATACCCAGGGAGCCATCACATAACCAGGAAACCATCACATACCCAGGAAGCCATCACATACCCAGGGAGCCATCACATACCCAGGGAGCCACCACATAACCAGGAAACCATCACATACCCAGGAAGCCATCACATACCCAGGAAGCCATTACATACCTAGGAAGCCATCACATACCTAGGAAGTCATCACATACCCAGGAAGCCATCACATACCCAAGGAAGCCATCACATACCCAGGAAGCCATCACATAACCAGGAAGCCATCACATACCCAGGGAGCCATCACATAACCAGGAAACCATCACATACCCAGGAAGCCATCACATACCCAGGAAGCCATCACATACCTAGGAAGCCATCACATAACCAGGAAGCCATCACATACCCAGGAAGCCATCACATACCCAGGAAACCATCACATAACCAGGAAGCCATCACATACCCAGGAAGCCATCACATACCCAGGAAGCCATCACATACCCAGGAAACCATCACATACCCAGGAAACCATCACATAACCAGGAAACCATCACATAACCAGGAAGCCATCACATACCCAGGAAGCCATCACATAACCAGAAAGCCATCACATACCCAGGAAACCATCACATAACCAGGAAACCATCACATACCCAGGAAGCCATCACATACCCAGGAAGCCATCACATACCTAGGAAGCCATCACATACCCAGGAAGCCATCACATACCCAAGGAAGCCATCACATACCCAGGAAGCCATCACATAACCAGGAAGCCATCACATAACCAGGAAGCCATCACATAACCAGGAAGCCATCACATGCCTAGGAAGCCATCACATACCCAAGGAAGCCATCACATACCCAGGAAGCCATCACATAACCAGGAAGCCATCACATAACCAGGAAGCCATCACATAACCAGGAAGCCATCACATACCCAGGAAGCCTCACGTGGTAAACCCCACTACTCGATTTAAACATGCGCAACATTTATGTATCTCTGGCAGGAACGTTCCGCCTGCTCAACAGTCTTTTTCAGTCGAACACAGGCAAACATAACAATGAAGACAGTAACTGTAGTTTTGACTTGATCAGTCCGTCACCACTGGTATGAGGTGGTCAGTCCTTCAGGCCTGACGGAATAACCTCCTACTACCAAGGCTGATTGACTGATCATGTCAAAACTATAGGTGAATAATGGGGTATTCACCAGTATTCCTATATTCAACTTTAGACGCTTGTTTTGCAAGAGTAACGTTTCGGCCATATAGATACCCGAGTGTTGAACATGTTTCTTATCCATGAACATGTCTGTATTGCATACAATAATTACTCTCACACTACTGGAGCTGAGTCGGAGCAGCAGATTCCATGGTGCTCACTGTAACCTCCAGGCGAGCTTCAGAAACATGTAGTCGTCTGCACAAAAACACATTCCAGCAACTGACCTCAAGCAAGTTGTGAAACAATGCGGTAACATAATTTTATATATCATATCCACACTGACTCAAGATTGCTGTTATTCCAGCCAAAACATGGGTTTTAAGTTGATCAGTTCTATCTGGTGACACTCTTCTTACTTCTGTAAAGTTCTTGTTTTTATTTTTCGCTAAGCTGTTTCCATAGCTAATCACAATAATAATTTTTAAATGGGTGGACGGGTAAGCCAGTGGAAGGCCTCGCTCAGATGACTAAAATCTCCAGCTGTGGGTCATCATATAACTAAGACCCGCGTCAGGAAACACTTGTCCTGTTTCCTGACGAATCTTACCTGTTTGATTCTCCGTTAGTATGCCGTTTTCTTAGTGTTATCACCTGGTTCTCTACCGGTTTCTTTCGTGTAAAATTAATAATAATAAATAATAATAATAATATTTATTATTATTATTACACAGGGGGATGGTGAGTTCCCGCACCTTATTGAAACTAAATATCTGTTTAAAATATATGTTTAATTTATAATAACTAACGTTTAATGAACATAACTCAGTGCTTACACAAGAACAATGAGTCGCACGGAGCTGTATTGGTTTGTCAACGTAGGCGCTGAAAACTGTCTTCAAATATCAATTTCAGATTGATCAAGACTGAGACTGAACCATTATGTCCTCTACACTCTAAACTTGCACATGAATGTTATTCAGTACCGACATGATGAAGAATTAGTCACATATGCAACATCTGGTTATCTTTATTTGTAGACGTTTCGCCATCCAGTGGCTTTATCAATACAAATTCATGGACATAATGGGAAGACTGTAGAACTCTATACGAAAGATGAGGTAATCGGTCCCTCAGCCTTGGAGTTTGTGTGAAATGTAACTCCTTCGCGCGCTACTGCATAAATAAAAAGCATAAATAAAGGACAAGAAATGTTGGAACTGATAGCTTACTGAGTCGGCAGACTAGTGCTCGTTCTTGCTGGATCAAAAGCTGGTTTCTCCGTAGTAGTGTTGCATGTGAGTGCATGTCTTGCGTGTGTGTGTTGCATGTGCGTGTGCTTTATGTGTGTGTGGGTGTTTAATACACTAGGTAGTATTTAGATCAGTTTAGATCTTTCCAGGAAAGGGGTGAGTGTCGTAATATGTTAATGGTTTGTGTCCCAGAGGTATATAGAGGTATAGCATGTGTCACAGAGGGCAGACACCACCATGGCAGGTACCATAATGTGTCACAGATGGCTGACGCCACCATGGCAGGTACCATAATGTGTCACAGAGGGCTGACACCACCATGGCAGGTACTATAATGTGTCAGAGGGCTGGCACCACCATAACAGGTACCATGTGTCACAGAGGGCTAACACCACCATGGCAGGTACCATAATGTGTAACAGAGGGCTAACACCACCATGGCAGGTACTATAATGTGTCAGAGGGCTGGCACCACCATAACAGGTACCATGTGTCACAGAGGGCTAACACCACCATGGCAGGTACCATAATGTGTAACAGAGGGCTAACACCACCATGGCAGGTACTATAATGTGTCAGAGGGCTGGCACCACCATAACAGGTACCATGTGTCACAGAGGGCTAACACCACCATGGCAGGTACCATAATGTGTCACAGAGGGCTGACACCACCATGGCAGATACCATAATGGTGTATCACAGATAACTGACATGATATTCTATAATCAAAACTCAAGTCAAGAAATTTAACAGTTTGGCAGCATGGGATGGGAGACCCACAGAGGGAGAACAGAAAATGTGGAGCAGAGCGCCTAGCGAATATAATAAGAGCTTGCTTTATATACTGAGAGCTCAAAGCTATGTGATGAAGTCCATCCAGACGCATTGTTGATTGCACTCCGTATGGAGAAGACAACGAATGAATATATATTTGGGGCAGCACGAGCAATGGAACCATCATCCACATGTAAAGAGGATCAAATTCTCTGAGGTAATGTTGAAGGTCGAGCGTTAATAGTTAATAAGAAAATTCCGCTAAGAATATCGCCTAGTAGAACTCTTCCCCTTGAAGAACATCTTTCAGATGTTGAAGCCGTTATTGATCCGTCGTGAACATTTTAAGAAAAAGCGAGAGTTGGCCTCTTAGACCACTAGAATGGACCCGAGATAATATATGATAACGTTACTGGTATCGTAAGCTTTTTCTGAGTAGAAAAACACTGCCTCCACAAATCGACCGTCGGCAAAAGGCATTGGGAATGTACTTATCGAGCCGAACTACAGGATCAATAGAAGAACAGTCTCTTCTGTATCCGAACTGATGTGGAGATATACACAAATAACCCGCACATAAAAGAGAGAAGCTTACGACGACGTTTCGGTCCGACTTGGACCATTGACAAAGTCACATGGTCCAAGTTGGACCGAAACGTCGTCGTAATCTTCTTTTATGTGCGGGTTATTTGTGTATCGTGCCTTTTTTTTGTTATTTGTGGAGATATACAGTTGAGAGTCTTCAAGCATAAGGCTAGTCTCCTCTTAAACATACATTTCATTAATTTACAAATGGACTCGAA